CCCTACGCTGCTCCCACAGCCGCTCCTGCACGAGGCACTCGGCAGCGGCTCTCGTCGCAACCCGACCTCAGAGCAGGCGCTCGGCCCAGCCGAACCAAGCACGGGAGCAGGAGCTGTCAGGAGCGCGCAGATGTCAGATGGCTCCTCTCGCTTTCTTTCCCCCTTGCTGGACTTCTCTTCGTATGATCGGAGATGTTGCCACAGTTCAATAATTCGCGGCAGAAAAAAGGAAGTCCCAAGACTTCTGGGAGGCAGAAGAGAACGGGCCAGTGGCTTTCTGCCCATTCCCTTCCCAGCACGACTGCGCTGTCGTGCGCAGGTCTGCTCGCTCACTGGGCACAGCGGCAGGCAGCTGGGCTCCATTCATCCACACGCCTCTGCCACCGGAGCCGCCCCGCTCTCTCCACGTCCGTTACGCTCGTTCCAGAGTTCTCCAGCAACATTTCCACCCTGCCCATACGAAATCTCAGCCAACGCCGTAGGCTGCAGGCGCCCTTCGTTTCTCCTCAGCGAGCAGCAGACATTCACAAACCGAAAAGCGGAGCCTCCCTCCACGCACACAGATGGAAGCCACGGCCCTGAGCAGCTCAGGGCCCCATCGCTCACCGTCCTTCTGCCCCCACCTGCTCCAGAGATGGGAGAGGAGGGCAAGGTGGGGCAGCAGCGGGGATGAGGGTGGGGAAGGGCTGCGGGGAAGGACGGCACAGACGGAGCCATTTTGCTGCAGGGGTTAAACGCTGCGTCTCTCATTTCCTTCGTCAGCCCTTCCTGCAGCAGCGCCTCGAGTCAGGCTGAAGGCGAGCAGATATGATCTCACTCAGGATGGAGATTATTATATTTTGGTAGCAGATATTTTAAAAAAAAGGAAAAAAAGGAAAGTCGTTGAAGCTTGCATAACTCCACTCGTTTTTACCTTCGCACTTCATCCCAGCCCCAGCCTTCAGCACTGGGATGGTTCCAAGCTCCGCCAACTGTATTTCTTGCACGTCACGTCCAAAAACAACACCCAGGCTCACTTCTGAGAAGTCTTAATAGTAAAAACAACCATAGCTCAGGATCTGGGGACTCTGCTATAAACTAAAGCACCTTGAAAGCTAGGCTGCCTTTCAGTCCTCATTTCCCAAAAGGACATAATGCAAATTGCCCAATAGTCCCAAGTCTACTCCCACATACAATCTCTTGGAAGCCCTGGTGCACGCTTTCTGTCCACCAGGCTCATTGCACAGCTCCGTTTACTGCTCACTTTGAGTTACCTACCGCCCAGCAAAGCGTGGCAGCTCAGGGTTGCCCACAGCCACCTCCACTGCCACGGAGGATGAGCAGATCCTGCTGCCCCACCGGCCCGGCTTCAGCACGGTGCCACCCGAGGCTCTCTGAGCACAGAAACTGAGGCGCTGCCTGCAGCTGCCATGCACAGACCCCCACGCAGGGTCTGGGGAGGAGGGAGCTCGGAGGGGGGGGACAACATCGCTCTCCACAGCTGCCTGGAAGGAGGCTGCAGCCAGATCGGGGCTGGCTTCCTCCCCAAATTAACAACAATAGGACAACAGGTAATTAATTGCCTTCAGCTGTGTCAGGAGAGGGCCAGGATGGCTATTAGGAACGACTCCTTCTCCAAAGAGCGGTGCTGCGGCAGCGCAGCTGCTCAGGGACTGGTGGAGTCCCCATCCCTGGAGGTGTTCCAGAGCCGCGGGGATGCGGCACGCGGGGACACAGGGGGCACAGTGGGGTGGGCTGGGGATCTCAGGGGTCTTTTCCAACCTTCACGGTCCTGCAGTTGTGACCTACGCTGCAGCGTCAACAGAGGAGGGCAAGAAACCTGGCTGAAGTGGCACAAATGAAGGACTGCCAGCAGCCCCGAACCGGCACAGCCAGAAAAGAACTCATCTTTGGGGGAACAGAGAGCAGAAGAGAATGAAGACAGCGTGTAAAACCCTGACTTCGCAGAACACAATGAGGTTTCTGTCATTCACTTCACCGAAGTCAGTGCTTCAGAAGTGCCTCGACAACAACAACTTTCCTCAGCTGACTTCTCTCCGACGGAATTAAACAGCTCCCACGATGAGCTTTCCTCCGTTCCCGCTGCCATCAGCGCTGCACTTGCCACCATCCTCTGTAGGAGCAGCACCGGGCCCCCGATTCGGGAATAAAAGCCATCCTGAGGGAACGGCAGCTGCACATCAACCTCTCCTCTCCCCAGTAGAAGCAGCGCACAGAAAGGAAACCTCAGAGCATCACTGCTGCTCTCACAAAGAGGGGTTGTTGGCTTTTTCCTACCAGAAGATTAATAGGTAGCAAGTTCAATATCGTTAAGTATTTAGTTTTCCTTAATCGTTCCAGGAATTCATCTACAGAGAGCAATGCATCACATCTGGAGGTAGCAATTTACCTTTCCGGAATCAACAAAATCTGCACACTCCTCCTGGGTCTGGGGAGGAGCGTGCGGAGCTGCGGCTGCTCTGAGCTCGGGGTGCTCTCAGCAATCCGTGGTACCACCAGCACCATTTTCCTTGGAAACAACCACGTTTTTCTCACTGTCTTCTGCCCGGGGAAGCCCATCTCTCAGCACATCCCAGAAATCCCGCAGCAGAACTGCAGCTTTGGGTTTCCTTCCACGCCGGAAGGTTCCTACTTGTTAATAATGCAGTCGGTGCTGGTCGTGGCGCAGCCTGAAGAGCAGACAATAGGCGGCCCTCAGCACTCCACATTGTTCCTTCTGTACCTTCCACAAGTTCAAGAGGTTCTTATTTTAGCAGCACTCTTCTCCTTCTTGTCTGGGCACTGGTCATACGCTTCATCCCCTCTTCCATTACACTTCAAGAGGGTGGATTCACACGGCAGAAAGAAAGGCCTTCCACAGTCTGCAGGTTTTGTTATTTGTAGTATTTTGAAATACATACCTAAAATGCCTCGAATTTTCACTCGCTAAACCACAGAAGGGAAGAGCAGAAGGTACACTGGGCGATGGCGTTTCTCCATCAGCTCTTCGCCACCTGCACACAAGTGGTGGGGTACAGTCTTACCAGCACCGAGTTCTGCCCCATCCACAGCCCAAAGCCCTTCGCTGCCCAACCTCTGCCCAGCAGTCTGGGCTCCCACCACCTCTGTGCCTCTCCCAGCACTGCAGGCAACGCCATACGAGGTCAGGTCAGAGCCCAGGAACTGCGTGCCTTACACTCCTGAGTATCCATGAGCATCCGCTGGATTCGGTTCGATCGTAGAATCGTGGAATGGATCTCGGGGCTGGAAGATCCTTCCACACCTGCTCTGTTGGAACAAGCTCACCCTCACTGCACGCAGAGGGAAAGCCATGAGCAGAAAGCAAGGATGCTGGGATCGGCCAGCACTGCCAAACCGCGTCCTCAGCCCACAGCAGCCACGCTGCCCTCTGCTCCTATCGGTCACCGCTCACCGCCAAACTCAAGGAAATACACAACTCCTGGAGGCTGGCAGCCCTGCCTGGGGCAGGGGGTGGAACTCAATGATCCTGAGGTCCCTTCCAGCCCCAAGATCCATTCCATGATTCCATGATCGAACCGAACCCAGCAGGTACTCACGGATACGGGAGCACAGGAGCAGCCCGCAATGCAAGCCACACTAAGGCTCCCCGTACAGCACGGAAACCGAAGAGCACAGAGCAGCTCCCAGTGCAGGAGCCCAGCCGAGAACTGACGCCGCTGCTCTGAGCCGGGACAAGGCAGCGCCCCCAGGCCCCTCCTGCAGCCCCCGCTCTGCCACAGGCGGACACGCGGCGCACTGCCTTCCTTCCACGCCGAGCAGGACTTCACAGGATCGCAGAACGGCCCTGTGGGTTGGAAGGGACCTCAAGGATCACGTGTCTCCAACCCCCTGCTGCAGGCAGGGCCACCAACCTCCACGTCTCACACCAGGGCCCCATCCAACCTGGCCTCGAACACGGCCAGCTTCACCACCGCGCAGCTCCACACACCTGTAAGCCCGTCGCTTTGCTGCCTGCCTGCCCATCCGGCCCCATTCAGGATGAGGAAATCCGCACAGGCTCCAACCCATCCATTCCTCTGTGCTGCGCGAGGGCTGCTTCCGAAATACGCCAACAGACCTCAGCCCCACATTACCGACGCACACGGGATGAAGGGATCAAGCACTTCCCTTTCCTACGGGGAAATAATATGCATTTTGGCTGCCTTCGTGGCTCGTTATTTTTGTCCTGGCAGATTCAAACAGCATAAAGCTGTGAATATTAAGAAGGCTATTAAATTCTTCCAATACTTTTCCAAAGTAAGAGGCTGCCGCACTTAGAGAAAGGAAGCCCAGCATCCTCCACGAGCAAAATGAACGTGAACGCACGATTAATGCTGCAACTGAAATTAAAAAGAAAGCGCCTCATAAAGAAACCGATTGTCTCGAAACAAAGGACGGACTTTTGGCTATCGATAGTATTTTTAGACTCAGACTTTCTCTGGAGACCTAAAAGCATGCAAATGCAGAGCGCGCAGCGGCGCGCGCACACGCACTGCACCTTTGTGTTGCACTGGCACTTTATTATTTAATTAAACTACTCTTATTTCTCTAGCTCACGCACGCCTCCCTTGAGACGGCTTTGCTGTTAGCCTGCTGGCCTTGACTTCCAGCCAAAAACAATTCAGAAACAAAAAGGGACAACAAATCATATTTCCACAGACATTTTTATCCCTTCAGTACAACCTTGTTTTCACACAACATCGTACAGATCCTGCGAAAACTATGATTTACGGTGCTAGCCACCCAGAGCCGGGGGCTGACACGAGCTCTCCACGCGCTGCCACTTGTGTCACTGCTGAGCTTGGACTGCACGGAAGGGACCCTCGGGGCTCCATCAGCACAGGGCCACAACCAGCGGCCCCGGCGGCCGCCTTGCAGCACAGCAGAGGCTGCCCACACCTCCGGCCGGGCAGCCCCCCATGAGGGGCACAGCACGAAGCTGCAGACCCTTCTTCTCACAGCGCTCATCGCCACGCCTCGCCGAACAGGATCCCGCTTACCTGGTGGCAACCCTGCAAACTCGAGTCTCTTCCGTACGATGAGTATGATCCCCTTTCTGTTTTACCTGTTGGGAGAGAAGAAGGAGACGTATGACCAACGCGATCGCATGTGCACGTACAGCTTCTCCAAGTGCTTTACAGGATGCTCCCCACGTTTCCCAGCGCTGCTTACATGCACAAAACAGGCGCTGCTGGCCGTGCAACGCACGCAGGCAGCAGCAGAGCATGAACGCCTTTTCCTGCCGAGGATGGCGACGTGCAATGAACTTGCCCATCCTGGCTGCACCGCCCCAGGATGGGATGCAGAAGGACTCGGCCAGGCCAGCACAGCTCTCCGGGCAGCGCCCATCCCCAGGGCTGCGCTGCGCCTCGTGCTGCGGCCGTTCCCCGGGCACTGCAGTGACACCGGGACGGGGACGGCTCCGGGAGGGCCCACCGCTGCTGCTGCTGCTGCTGCGCGCTGCCGGCCCCACAGACCAGAGCTCATGCTGGGTTTTGCTCCGGGCTGCCCTCAGCACGCAGCTCCGGCAGCCTGCCTCGCAGCACTGGTTACGGCCACGCTGTATTTACAAAGGAAAATAAAGGTTCTTTCAGGTTTGAATGGGCAGACTCGAGCAAAACCAAGGAGGAAAGAGGTGGTTTCTGCAGAGCATTAAGTCATGGCTGAGTAGCACTACACCACGTGCTAGGGAGACAAAGAGCAGTCAAGAGGGCTGATACAAAACATATTGACACCAACAGACCACCCTTACGGCGCGGGCAGCCACGGGGGGAGGCAGAACGGCCAGCAGCACCGCGAGCACCGAGGCCGTGGCGGAGCGCGGAGCTGCGGCAGGGCAGGGCTGCCCGCTCCATCCCCGTGCCCCAGCAGCCCTGCCGGCCCCGCGCAGCGGGGGAACCGAGCACATCTTCCCCCACCACAACACCAGACCGCACCGCTTCCTCTGGCCGCCTGCTAGTCATTGCTTTTGCTGTTTTCCTCCCTCCAGCACAGGATCCCCCCCCGAATGCATCGGCGACGCAGGGGGGCGTCTGCACACATTGCAACTTTTGGAAGCCCTCGTGCCTGGCTGCGGGGAAACCACGCATCGCCCGCCACGCGGCCCCCTGGGCTCCGAGCACCAAAAGCCTCTGCAGAAACAACTCGGGATGGGAGCAGCGAGGAGAGGCGCACGGCCCAAGGCTCCCAACGCAACAGCCCCATAAGTGGAGGCAGTGGGGCAGGGCTGTGTGCCGGGAGCAACCCGAGGGCCACGGCAGCCCAGCACCCGCGCAGCGCAGACACCGGCAGCCTCGTCTTAATTTCAGTTGTTAAAAAATATTTATCCGGATACAAAAATAAACCCGCTGCAAATTACAAGTTGTCAGGGTTAAAATCTACTTCTATTTGTGTGGGGGAGGATAAGAGAACAGCATAGACATGAATCATTCTCAGTAATTTGAGTGTTTCCATGACATCAATGGGCACTCGTCCAGGACTCTGTCGAAGTCTGCGAGGTACCAAAGCGGCACAGCAGCCAGCAGGAGATTGACTTTTTTTTTTTTTTTTAGGATTATGCTCCCTGTAAAGATTTCATCTCCAGCATCCACTTTTACCACCAAACAGAGGGCTCTGGAGACCACGAGAGAACGTGTTTCGTTCTGCCCGTGTCAGCCTTTAACTTTATCGCCTCTCCGCCGCCGTTGTTCCCGTGCACGGCCAGGAATCTGCCCTCTGCATTAGGAACAAACAGCCAAAATCCACGGAAAAGTCAAGAAACTGTTAAAAGAGATTCACATCCGTAGATTTTCACTATCAACTGTAATTACGAAATTATCATACTTTTTGTAGCGGCGTTACGTTCCATTTGAGGGTGGGGGGCTGCAGGGGGGGGGGGGGGAGAGGGGGGGGAAGAAGAGAAATATCTTTTGTATAAACTGTCCGTTTAAAATTAGCTACAGTCTTGATGTCGATTTTCTGCTTAAAATTCACTGGCACATTTGTTTCAGATAATAAAATTTGCAAGAGTGCTGATAATATGCAAGAGTGGGCTCCGCACGCAACTATTTGTGCTGGCAGATACAAAAGCCTCTCCCGAATTTCTGCGCTTCCTGCGCGTTCTGCGCCATCCTCAGCCCCTCGGAGCCGCGCCGCGCGTTTCCCGGGGTCTGCAAGGGCTCGGGGTTCTCTCTCCCCCTTTTTTTCTTGACGTTTTAAAAAGGAGAGAGCGTCCACAGCCATGTAGACACCCGACGCATTCACTGCGGAATTTTCGAGACAACCCTCTAGTACTAGAATGCGGCAGCCGCTGCGGATATTTTTTGGCACAAAGACAATGGTGGCAGTGCCAAGCCCCATGGCTAAAACTACTCAAAGGAGGCATAAGGGTAGCATTAATCGTTCGAGTCTTTTACCGCATGGAGCACCGCCGTCCATATTTTACAACCCGAAAGTACCCGTTTGTGGTGTTTGCTGAGAGCCAGGGAAAGGGAGGAGGCGGAGGGGGGGGAGGGAGGGAGAGGGGGAAAAAAAAAAAAAAAATAGAAAAAAAAAATTAGAGAAATAAGAAGGGGAGTCTGAAATGCGCGCAACAAATCCGGCCAGATTTCCCGTTAATTCTCTCCACCTTCAGCACCCAGCGCCGAACACCGCGCCGCCCGCCAGCGGCGCTCGGCAGCAAAGCGCCCATCCTTACGTGGTCGGGTCAGCAGGACGTGGAGCGCGGCCACGGCAGGAGCTGACCTACAAAGGCGGTCGGCAACTTTGGGGAGCTGTTATTCTTTGGGTAAAGCAGGAGAAGAGCCTTCGCCATGGCCGGAGGTGGCACCTCGGCGCGTGCGGCCGCGTATCTATATGTTGCATTAATTGGCACAATGCGTGCCAATCAACGGAGAGACAAAGGAAGAACTCCAGGCAGCTCCTGCCTTCTGACAAACGCTGCATCTCAAGGCTGTGCTCTGCGAGTACTTCAGAAAACAACAACGCTTATCTGCCCGGAACTAAAACCATGCCTCCGTAAATACTGCGCCCGCATTTCTGTCGAACCGCAAAAAAAAAATAAAACAAAAAAATAAAAAATAAAAATGAAAGCGTCCTAGGATTGCCAATCCATCAATAGCGAAGCCACTCGCCTTTCCACGGTGCACTTTGAAAGATTAATCGAATTAAGTAGAAAATTTAAGCAACTTCCAAAGCACAAGCGCAGCCATCGCCTCCCCCTCGGCTCCCAGCGATGGGCAGCAGCGGGGGCAGGACGGGCTCCTTCCACCTGCGGAGGAAGGGGAAGTGAGGCCGCTTCTATAAACGGCTTCCATTCGGTTTTTTCATTTCATTTTGGCGTATTTTATTTTTTTTTTTTCTTTCGGTGTTCGAACCAGAATATTACAACCCAGGTTTTCCGACGCCCCTACGCTTGGGGTTTAAGCTCCTGGTTAGACCAAAGATGGGAAACCTACCTGAAAAAAAAAACACAACAACAACGAAATTTTAAGAAAATGCAGCAAATGTTCGAAGTTGCGCATCGGTTCTGCCCAGGTCTGCAGTTTTCCTCACCTTCCTTCTCGCGACTCCATCTCTAGGATTCGTCCCTTCCTGCAGCACAGGTCCCAGGTGCTCCCCAATGGAGACCAACCATCCCCGAGCAGCTGCGCGGGGCTCGGCGCCACGGCAGCCAAGCACCAACTGCTCTCTTACAAAGGCAGTTTCACGAGTTTTGGACACGTTTGTTCTTTACAAGGAAAAAAATGAGCAAGTTTAAAAGGTAGATGCATTTTTTTGGGGGGGAGCACGAGTGGCAGGAGAGCCAGGCGCCATCCCCGCTCGGCGCTCAGGCGGCACAGCTCCGCTGTGACCTCGGCTATGTACACATATTTCTCCAACAGTACCGTGCTTCCTGCCATGGGATATACAGTCAAAATATCCCATTTATTGCCGAGAGGTCCTGAACAGCGTGTTTTACATCACAAAGAATCTCGCCCGATGGTGATGGAAGTGTCATGGTAATGAGCTTTGTGCCGTATGTGAAGTACAGACAATACGAAACGAATCTAATAGATTTTAAAGCAAAGTTTGTGCAGGAACGTGCGCAAGACAGCAGGAACGGCGCAGCATCTGATCTGAAGAAAACCGCAAACCAGACACAAAGCCAAGGGAAGGCTATCGATCCCAAGGATTCCAACGGCACCTGCCCCAAAATGCAGCACGGCGCCGGGAAGAAGAGACCTTTGTGACATGGAAGAGGATTTTCCCGCTTACGTGGATGCGCAGCACCCAGGAACGGTTCGTAAAGAGGCGCCACGATGCCAGAGCGTGTGCCACCACAAGGGCAGAATTTTTTTGTTTTTATTTAACATCAAAACGCAAACGAGGATTAAACCCTAAAATCTGCACTGAAATAAAGTCACAGCTCTGAGCTGAACGAACCGAGGGCAGAAGCGGTCCGTCACCACCGCTCCCCCCACTGCTGCCTGTGCTGAAAGGCAGGCTGTGCTCCCCAGCAGCCCTATGGCCACCGGGCACCGACACAGGCTGGCTGCGCCTTCGAGCTGCTCGCTGCCATTCTAACACTGATATTGATTATCAGCATCAGTGCAAGGCTCACACGGAGCTCTGACCCCACAGCCCCTCCGCCCACAGCCCGCGCTCCCCTCCGGGCTTCATTCCTTTACAAAAAAAAAATGCTTTTCTGCCATCAATCTCGGTTCATGAAATATTGGACCCGTACCAAAAGACTGAGGCAAATTGCTCGGTCTATTTCTGTAATCCACCGAATACCAGCATCTATTACGGGGCAGTACGTGACTTCTTGGTCCGCGTGCTTTTAGAACAGAATAGCTGTGGAGAAATGGCATTTGAAACAACAGGAGTGTGAAGACAGAATACTGAAGACCAGATTCTACACCAACTACACCTGAAATGGCCCCCGGCCCTCTTCATTCCTTCCAAAAGCAATTAGACTACAAAGATCATCACACTATCCTACACAAGCAGGGTTTGGCACTCACGTTCACTTATTTGCCTTCCCGATGCAGGAGCACTGCAGGACTGACCATGACCCGACCCAATGAGAACAAGCACGCTGCGCTC